TAAATTACTGTCACTGTAACTTTTTTAATCGTAAATCATTGGTAAAATATCGATGCTGGAGACTTTTTAAATCTTTATAAGGACGAAACGTCCGCTTCTGTCAAGTTCGTTTTGCGATAGTTTTCATTTATTTATCCCCTCGCTGGTGAAATGATATTGTGTGCGTTTGCTTCAGAGAGGCGTGTTAAGGGCGGGCTTTTAAAGTAGCGCAGCATTGGCCCCTCCCGGCTCGTTAGCCCTGGCTCGCACTGGCCAGACAGTGGAAAAGCGACAACCCCTGCGGTAGACCGACTCCGCTTGCATTCATTCACGCGATTTGTCGAGATGAGAGGTGACCCCTCCTGGTAGTGTGATTTATATACGTTATTTCACCAGACACTGACGCTTTGACTCTTGAGTACCAGCAACATGTCAGAAGTGCCAGTACGCACGAAAAAGTGCCACTAATGTGCGTACTGGCCCACTTCAAGCACTGATTCTGTGTCTCTAAAATGAGGTCAAGAAAAGGGCATGCAATTATTTTAAAATGACTGGTGACATGCTGTTTAAAATAGCTTTAGTTGTAGTTTAGCATGTTTAGCAGGTGCATTTAATGTCAACTACACATTTATCAGTCCTACTATGGCAAAGGCTTGGTGTATGAATATTAATTAGGTTAGATAACCAGGAAGGTTACCTAGCAACGTCAGCCTGACCTAATTAATATTCATGAGACAGGTCTTTGCTACTGGCTTCATTCAGAGTGGCCTGAGTGGTTGCAAATTTCATTTCAATTGAATCAGTGAAGTGGAGTTTCATATAAATTATTATTTTAATAATTTAATCTTTTTTTTTTATTCAACAAGTTTCTGTTTCTCCTTTGATGATGTAATGAGGTGTAACATGGCCCGAGTCTGTCTGGAGTTTAACCTCCTGTGTTGCCATGCAACTCCCCTTGAAACTCCCGGGACTCTCGTCATCTCTGTTTCGAATATATCCTCTCTTGTTCCACCTGACGCACTTTTATTACAAATCCATCTCTCTGCACTGTCTTTATTGGCCTGCATCAATACAGATGCTCATGCACTCTCTCTCTTTCTCTTTCTCACACTGTCACACACACACACACAGCCAAAACACACTCACTCGAAACTCTCTCCCACATGTTTGCGGGCATTGCTGAGCTGGGATCAAACCTTGATCATTATATAAAACATGTACATGTAGAGCTAAGAGGAGCAGCTTTCCTGCAATATCTGATAAGAATACTAAGAATCTCTCAGTTTATACTGCAAAATCAGATTCCTTTCATCTGCATGTGGAAGTGCTCATCTGATTTTGTTTTTGGAGTGTACAAATAGCAGCATTCCAGTTAGAAAGCATCTGCAGGACTCATACATCTCAATACAATGCAAAAGCAGGGAGTATAACTGCACATGAGAATTTGCATTGAAATTGCATTTGAACATTTTTATTGATTCTCCCATTGTGGATGCGATAGGAAAGTGTTGATAACAAAACCCAATTGTTCCTTCATTTCCATGAAATTAGTTGTTCACATTTTTGCAGTTTAGGCTGATGCAGTTTGCATCAGTGTGTCCTACCAGAGGATCGACAGCATTAACAGATACAACATATGTCTTAGTCATGTGGTCAAACTCATTTTTTCAACACCATCAGCCGAGTTTATACACTACCATTCAAATGTTTGGGGTCAGTAACATTTCTGTTTCAAATAAATGCTATTCTCTTCATCTTCATTCTTTTCAACTTTCTATTTATTAAAGAATCCTGAAAAAAGTATTATGGTTTCCACAAAATATTAAGCAGCATAACTGTTTTCAACATTGAAAAAAATACAAATATTTCCTGATTAGCAAATCAGCATATCGAATTCTGACACTGAAGATTGGAATAATGGAATAAAGTAATAAATGTGAACATTTTCAAATAGAAAATATTTCATTTAAATTGTAACAATATTTCACTTTATTACTGCTTTACTGTATTTTCCATCAAATCACTATAGTATATGTTTTTCAATCTGAAACTGAAAATTAATATTGTTGAATATAAATGTAAAGTAGTGGTAACAGAAATTTTATTCATTGTTTTATGATGTTAACCCCCTTAATCTGGTGTCAGAATAATCATGAACATTATTATTTTTAGGAAAATTATTAATAATAGTGCAATGTTCTTAGACAGAAAGTACAAAACAATCCACATTTAAAAAAAAAGAAAAAAGGACACTGACAGTGAAGAGAATTATATATCATTATATATCATAATTTCATTACAATAATAGCTTTAGTTGTAGTTTAGCATGTTTAGCAGGTGCATTTAATGTCAACTACACATTTATCAGTCCTACTATGGCAAAGGCTTGGTGTATGAATATTAATTAGGTTAGATAACCAGGAAGGTTACCTAGCAACGTCAGCGTGACCTAATTAATATTCATGAGACAGGTCTTTGCTACTGGCTTCATTCAGAGTGGCAATTGAATCAGTGAAGTGGAGTTTCATATAAATTATTATTTTAATAATTTAATCATTTTTTTTATTCAACAAGTTTCTGTTTCTCCTTTGATGATGTAATGAGGTGTAACATGGCCCGAGTCTGTCTGGAGTTTAACCTCCTGTGTTGCCATGCAACTCCCCTTGAAACTCCCGGGACTCTCGTCATCTCTGTTTCGAATATATCCTCTCTTGTTCCACCTGACGCACTTTTATTACAAATCCATCTCTCTGCACTGTCTTTATTGGCCTGCATCAATACAGATGCTCATGCACTCTCTCTCTTTCTCTTTCTCACACTGTCACACACACACACACAGCCAAAACACACTCACTCGAAACTCTCTCCCACATGTTTGCGGGCATTGCTGAGCTGGGATCAAACCTTGATCATTATATAAAACTGCCTACATGTAGAGCTAAGAGGAGCAGCTTTCCTGCAATATCTGATAAGAATACTAAGAATCTCTCAGTTTATACTGCAAAATCAGATTCCTTTCATCTGCATGTGGAAGTGCTCATCTGATTTTGTTTTTGGAGTGTACAAATAGCAGCATTCCAGTTAGAAAGCATCTGCAGGACTCATACATCTCAATACAATGCAAAAGCAGGGAGTATAACTGCACATGAGAATTTGCATTGAAATTGCATTTGAACATTTTTATTGATTCTCCCATTGTGGATGCGATAGGAAAGTGTTGATAACAAAACCCAATTGTTCCTTCATTTCCATGAAATTAGTTGTTCACATTTTTGCAGTTTAGGCTGATGCAGTTTGCATCAGTGTGTCCTACCAGAGGATCGACAGCATTAACAGATACAACATATGTCTTAGTCATGTGGTCAAACTCATTTTTTCAACACCATCAGCCGAGTTTATACACTACCGTTCAAATGTTTGGGGTCAGTAACATTTCTGTTTCAAATAAATGCTATTCTCTTCATCTTCATTCTTTTCAACTTTCTATTTATTAAAGAATCCTGAAAAAAGTATTATGGTTTCCACAAAATATTAAGCAGCATAACTGTTTTCAACATTGAAAAAAATACAAATATTTCCTGATTAGCAAATCAGCATATCGAATTCTGACACTGAAGATTGGAATAATGGAATAAAGTAATAAATGTGAACATTTTCAAATAGAAAATATTTCATTTAAATTGTAACAATATTTCACTTTATTACTGCTTTACTGTATTTTCCATCAAATCACTATAGTATATGTTTTTCAATCTGAAACTGAAAATTAATATTGTTGAATATAAATGTAAAGTAGTGGTAACAGAAATTTTATTCATTGTTTTATGATGTTAACCCCCTTAATCTGGTGTCAGAATAATCATGAACATTATTATTTTTAGGAAAATTATTAATAATAGTGCAATGTTCTTAGACAGAAAGTACAAAACAATCCACATTTAAAAAAAAAGAAAAAAGGACACTGACAGTGAAGAGAATTATATATCATTATATATCATAATTTCATTACAATAAAATAATTTTCTAAAATATGGTTTATTATTCTGTCATTTCAGTGTGTTGATCATGATGAATGGGAACATTGATATTGGGTGACAAACACAATTAATGCTTTATTCTACACTAAATTATACATAATGAATTTATAAATTAATTAAAATTCATTAAAATTCATTATATTATATTGTAAATGATTTAAACTTAAATGCCCTGTTAATGTGACAGTTATTAGTAATGGAGGCTCATAGCACACAAATGGCAGAGTATCTTGTGAATGACCCTGGATTTAAATGAATAATTATCTAAAAAAATAATAATAATAATAAAAGTGGCATGTATTTGATTAGTTAATGAGCTCAATTACCCTGCATAATTACAGTGTGGATATTTGTTTCTCCTTTCAGGAAAAGCATGCTGACAGGCTCATACAGAATCAGCATTATCAGGTATGCCAGCAGATAAAGCTCTGCAATTACACACATGCGAGAATATAAACAATGTGCATGTAATTGCAATACATCGCTTCGCCTCTGGCTTTGTTTTCCCTGTCTCTCTTTTTCCTTGCACCATCACACCAAAGATCCAGCTGTACATTTCCAGATTAACAAGATTAGGGAGTTCTATCTGATTGCTTGCTTTCTCTTCTTCTCCTTCAACCCTCAGGAGGTCATCCGTAGTCTAGTGAAGAGGTATGTGGCGTCCATGATCCGCAGCGCCAAGACAAGCGAAGGGCTGACGGAGGAAAATTTTAAGGTGCTTCTGAAACTAAATGCTCTCTATTTATCTAGCATAAATATCAGGAAATGCAGGCTCATAAACAAAAACACTGACACAAGTAATTGTTCTTCAAATGCCCTAGTGTTCCACAGAAAATCTGTAAATCTTCTTCTTATAATCTTTATTTGCAATCATTAGCACACTCATTGATATATATTTTTTAGCTTTTAAAAACGTGTCAATAGGATTTATAAAATATTTGTATAGTAAAAATATAATAATTATAAATAGGCCTATAATTTATACAGCAGGTTTTCATTTTAATGTAAAATACTTTTTTTGTCAAATATGCTGCAGTAAATACCTGTTAATTTATTAAAAGTTCCCTTACTACTGTATATTCAGTGAAAAACTGTAATACAGTAATACACATCTTAACAGTAAAATCCTGATAAAAGTAGTTTTTAAAGTGAATTTTAAGTGATTGTTTTGTCACTTATGCACATTAGACTTTTTACATCTTATGTTGTTAAATGAATGTTTATTTCCTTGTTTTGTGTATATGATGGTGTTTTGTATTTGTGTGTGTAAGTGTACACTCTCTATATTTTAGTATTTACCTCAGCTTTTGGAAAAGGTGAACTTTCATGTGGCTTTCAGTATTTTCAGTTAGTATTTCATCAGTTAATGAAATATTTTTTTCCAGTAAATTTGAGTTTTATGGAAAATTGTTCAATCCATAAAACTTAAAATGTTGCTACTGTATTTTTCATGATAAAGTTCTGACAGCCACAACTGCCGTTTATTTACTGTAAATTTCACATTTTACAGCATATTTACATTATTACACCACACACAGTGAAGACATAAAGCAACATCAGTAATGTCAGTCCATTACAGTCCTTTAAATTTATTTTCTTTCTCCACTCACAGTGAAATATCAGTGGTTTAAAATCTGGCTTCTAATAACAGTACATAGCCGCGGGAACATATTTTATCTGGGGGGTGCGAGGGAGGCGGGGCCACAGTGGGGGATTTTAGACAAAATCCTAATATTAAACAGCCCAAAACACTTATATACTGTAGATGAACATACAAATGAAAGAAGACCGAGTTACATGAGAATCAATATATATTTGTGCTTTTGTGATTTTAGATCAAGAATTTTTTCTTTAATGTTTCTATTATTTAAGGGCATTTTACTAAATATTGACATCGCTGATACGCCAGTGGTCAGTGAGCATGCTCACCAACCGAATTCTGCACTTTAGTGAATTCTCTCATCAGAAACAACCAGTGCAGATGTACATGTGATGCAAATAAGAGATTTATTCATCATACACTGCAGACAGCTTCACTTATTATAACTGGAGCTTTTTTAGAGTGCTTACACTTGCGCGAGACTGAATTCCATGATATTCTTCTATAATGTAAATGTTCTTTGCTTGTTGTTTGAATAAAAGAAACTTGAAGTCTCTTTTTATTAAACATGATCAGATGAAATACAAAATCAGTCTTATTAAAATATTTTGTGACATAATATGGTACTTGCCTAAAATGTTATGATGTGCGTAGTTAATAGATTACATTAGGCTACAGTGGTTTGAGCGAGCTTGACTATATGCGCAATTAAAGAGCTGTGCATGTGATTGTCGGTGGCCGTCTTGAGAAGTGAGAAAGCTTCGGAATACGGCTCATAAAAAGGATGAGGATGTAAATGCTTTTTACAAGTCGGAATCTAAAATTACGGTAATATCACGTTAACATTTCACATGAACTTCTGTCAGTGAGTGGGAGCTGTAGGGACAAAACAAATACAACCGCACTATATTTCTGGACATTTTAATATGTAATTAATCACAAAACTATCACAAAAGTTAAGTATCCTGGGGATGATTGAGGGGCACAAGGAAAATCTGGAGGGCATTGCCCCTCTTAGACCCAGCCCTGCGGCAGGGAGTTCTGCAGCACCCCTAGTTCCCTTGTCTATGTAACAGTACATCGAATATGTAACATTAAAAATGTTTAGTCATGAAACATAACTTTTAGTGTGGAAAAAATGCATATCTTTTTGAAATGCATTACATAATACTATAATAATGCTCTGCCTTAGGAGCTGAAACAGGACATTTCCAGTTTCCGCTATGAAGTTTTGGACCTTCTGGGCAACCGAAAGCTGCCCCGGCGGAACTATTCCTCCAGCAGCGAGACCACGCTTCGAGACGAGGTCAGCGATGATGGCGAGGCCTGTCATCACAGCGATGGAAGCAGCATCGGGGCCAAGGGTGTGTCTTTCAAAACCATTACGCCCTCGGATCCGTCGTACGGAGTCTCCGCCCTCTTTCGCTCCATCTCCGGAATGGAGGTCGCTACTACTACGACGACGACAGCGGCATCATCTGCGTACAGGGAGGGTAAACCAAAGACCAACGGACTGAGGAAGAACCCCTCGCCCTCCTCTTCCCTATCCTCAGTGGCTCCAGCAAGACCTGCACTTTCACGAACTTGGAGGCACTTTTCCCGCTTCTCTAGTTCCAAGAAGAACTCCTTCAGACGGCTCGGCCTGCTGTTCTCACGCATGGGCAGCCACCTTCCGCAGCCGGCAGGTGTCACCGCTGCAACCTACACTATCTCAGATGGATTGCTTCACCCGCCGGAGGCTTGGCACGACTTGGGCTTCACCAGGGGCGCCGGTCCCGTCACCAGAAGCGAGACCAACCTTAATCAGGTGGACGTGGGCGCTTTAAATGAGGGCGACGATGCCATGACGACCAATGGACAGAGAGCTATCGGAAGGGATGTTTTACTGACATTAGGACCTCTGTCCCCGCCCTCTTCCCTGCACTGTGCTTCCAGTTTCTCCGCCTCCAGCTCCCGCCTCCTGGATTCAAATGAGGACGTGTTCCAGGGATTGGTCGGGCCCTGTAGCGGACAAACGCCAGACTCCTCCCGCTGGGTAACGGAACAGGACGATTCGGTGACCACGCAGCTATAGTATTGCTAGTATGTACTGTACAGCACTTTGATAATAATAATAATCAGTGATGATATAAATAACTATTACCTTAACCACAACCGATTCTTATGTTCGTACTTTTGTTTGCTGCTGCAATATTTGTCATTTCTTTCTGAGATTTAACCAAATCGAAAGTTATTTAAAAGAGAGATGGGATGAGTGAATTAAATGATGGATGACAGAGATTCAGAATGGGACAGAAAAGTGCCATCATCAGAGAAATGCAAGCCAGGTTGCATTTTTGTATCTTCATTACATCCCATTGTTCACCCTACAATGAAAATTCTGAAATCTGTTAATCAATTTCATGTCATTCCAAAAGAAGATATTTTGAAGACAAAACTAGTTTTGGCTACCATTGACTTCTATGGACCATTTTACGGTGGCCGAGAGAGCTCAACGCACTGCAACTTAAGAAAACACATGCAAATTGAAAAAACACCAGCAAATTAAGAAAACATCTTCATCAGTTTGACAACACATGCGCTGCAAATCCTCACAGCACATTTTCACTGATGTCATATATTTAGTTTCTAGGACTCGAGTTAATCATACGTTTCTAAGAATCTAGTTAATACATTTAAATCTAGTGTTTTTTTATATTTAGATATTTAAATAATTTATATTTTCTTATTCATTTTACATTTATAATGCTATGTGTTTTCTTACCTTGGCACTGAATTACATAAAATTAGATAATACTGCTGCATTTGTGTTTCTAATACAACAGCTGAGGGAGTGACTGCAAATTTGATGTTTTTCTTTTTTCTGACTCACATGATCAATTTCTCAGTATGTTTTTTCCTGTTTTGGACAGTCATAGAAACGCTAGATTTTGCTGTTCCGGCAAATGAAAATGCAAAAATTATATTAGTTGTAGTTTCCAATCACCACTGTAGATCACCACTTCTAAGAACCCTAGAAATGTGAAAATGGTCCATTGTATGGACAACTGAGACATTTCTAAAAATGTTCTGCAGAAGACAATAAGTCCAACAGGTTTGGAATGACATGAGGGTGAATAAAGTTTATTTTTAAGTGAAATATCCTTTCAACATCAGAATTAACTATTTAGTTTCTTAATACATATTCCAGATATCATTGTGCATGATTCATCAGCGCATGTTATTCCAAAGAAAAAAATGTTTGTCTTCATCAAAAAATTTATTATCTTGATAAATGTCTTTTTGGCTGATGTTAAGTAGACTGTTCAGGATGTTAATATTAATTAGCCATTTAAACATTTTCTTATTGAATTGTTAGTGCAGTAATATAATGCCAGTTAAAGTTCATTTTAAAAAGGTTACAACAATAATACAAATTGCAGAGTGTTACTGTTGGGATCCAACCCATCCAACTTTCTTTTTTTTTTTACAGTAAATATCCTATTTATTAAAAAATGTCACATTACATTAGTAAAATAGTTTGTGAGTGCTGTTTCATGTTGACTTTAACCCTAAACCACAGGAGTCAACCAATTCATGCCATTCAATTCACAATTCAACTTTATATCTCCAATGTGACCAGAAGCATTGTTAGTTCATGTATTTCTTTTTTATAGAAAGTTCTCATTGGAAAGTGTACTTGAGCAAGAAACACATCTGATATGGACCTACAGTGTATGTTTAAGGACATCATGCTCTTGGTGGAACAGGTTTGATGTTTTTTTTCTCAGTAACTGATCAGTGAGCCGTTGGCACTCATGCGGTGAAGGTTTTTCACTTTAGTGCTATACGTGCACATCATAGTGTGATATTACTCGTGTTATGCACCCGGAGGGCTGAAGTTATGCTAGAATCTAACATGACTGAAATCTTATTTTTGTATTTTGAATAGCATGTACAAATGATTTAATTTCAAGACTGTTTTAGTCTAGACAGACATTATTTATACAGTATACTATTATAATGTTTTTGGAGCTGTTTTTTTCTTTCTTTCTTTGACTGCTTACTTTTTACTGTATGTGAATATTAATTAGTATATTATAATAATCAGGTATTGGGGAGATATCCAGAGACATGCATCGAATAAGACATCCCCCTGCTCTGCGATGATGAATGCTGATAAACCATGTACAGCGTCATGCTAAAATATTCAGACTTTTGACCAACTCTATTTTACTGTATGTATTATACTGTAAATATGACATTGATGTATTGATATTAATGTTGGAGAATATATATAAAAAGTGCATAAATAATCAGTTTGAGAATATTTAACAATATGGTATTTATATTAAAAAGACGTTCAACAAAAATATTACTGTCCTAAGGTCACTATTTTAAGATTTCTGAGTGATGCTGTCAGCTTCCAAAATATTAAACTGCAGGGGCTGAATGTAACAAAACAATGTCACATTTTAGGAGATTTGTTTCAGTGCTTTCAAATGAAACCTCACAAAGGACACAATTGCAAAGTGGGACTGTGTAATCCAGTAACGTGACAGAATTGGTCAACGCCTGATTACTTTTGGCAAGGTGCTGTAGATGCTTATGTATACACTTGAATGAAATACATGCTCCTCTTGTATGATTCTTATCACTTTCTACTTTTCCTTGGAAATGTGTGAACATACGATGAAGATAAAAACTAGTTCTGACAGCCAGAAACTGAACTCAAGGGAATGCTGAATATGCAGATTCAATAAAGCTGAATAACCCTGGTATTGTCTTTGATTTCTTGCCATTTCTCAACAAGATATAAATGTAGATATGTGCTCTACTCTTTCCTGGCTGCAGCTCTACTGTAGGATGTACAGTAAAGTAAGTAAGGCCCAGATTTTTGGCAGTAACAAAAATATACCTTAAAATGTTCTCCTGGGGGACATTTGTAATGCCAACACCATCGTACAATAGTTTTGTCAAATTGGCACTATGATGTATTGCATGGTACAGTGATTTATGTACCATGGTACAGGGGCGTAATTTCCACTGGGGACAGGGGGGACATGTCTCCCCCACTTTTCAAAATCACGTTTGCGTCCCCCCCACTTTCAAATTCGTTTGTTATGATTTTTTTAACCGCACGCCCATGGTATATATATTAGAATGATTTTTGAAGGATCATGTGACTCTAAAGACTGAAGTAGTAGCTAAAAGAAATAGATTTTAAAAATATATTCAAATAGAGAAATTACTTTAACTAGTAAAAAATATTTTGCACTATTTCTAACTCAATTCTTCATCAAATAAAGATTTGGAGAGCATACGAGACTTTTTTTTTCATGGTACATGAATCGTGTTGCATGGTATTTTCCTTAGTACTGTATCCACTGAACAAATGGGCAGACTTTACCAGGGTTGATAATAATTGATTCATATTGAATCGTTAATTACTTAATTGCAAATTGTAATGGTGTTTTAGACTTTGCCATTTCTTAGCAAATGCAAGTCATGTTGCCTACGAAAACCTTTTTTCTTGTGCCCTTGGAAGTGCTGACTAATAGCTGTCAGGTTAAACTTCAGCATACTGTCCAAAGAACGCATCCAATTTCCCACCGTCGTTTGAAATAATGCTGTTGATGACAAGAGCTGCCTATAAATTAGATTGTTTGGGTAAATTCAGATAAATGTGGTGACTTCTGCACTGCATTTCAATGACATTCCTGATTAAAATATAAATTTGGTCACTGATATGAGTGCAGTTTAATGCATGTGAAATGTGTTTTAATGTACACAGTGGTTCTCAACTTTCAATGTCAACTTTTTCAATCATGATTTTACATTACACGTCAAGTGGTGGCCCAGTACAATAGTAAAATTGTTTATCTTAGAAAGGTAAACAAAAATGTCCTTTGATAATATATATATACATTTTTTTTTAATTTTATTTTTTTTAGTACAAATTTATTAGTAGCCTTATTACCATTTGACGGAATTGTTAAAAAAAAATGCCTCTGCAAATCAGTGGGAAATTCGTGAAAGACAGAGAAAATATTCCTGAGGGTACTTGGTAGGCTAAGATTAGCCAACGTTGCCACTGTAGTAATTAGTAAACATGACATGTTAATTGTGCAATTTTCAAGTCCTGGAAAGAATCTAATCATGTGGAGTGTAATGCCCTCTGGTGGTTGCGTCATCCATTGCACAAAAGCTCCGCTATTTAAAACACTTTTTTTGGTATATTTTATTTGTATTGAGCTAATTTCAAAACGAAAACGTATTCTAGAACCGGGTCCGCTTATTCTACAATATTCAAGAAAACGTTCCTTTTCTTTCTATATTTAAATTAAGTGCACTGTCAAAAATACACCAAGCCGTTCTTTCATAAACATCTCTAGTCTAGTGCGTGATGTCTTGGATCCCGCCCACGTTTTTCATCGGCGTTCGTGATTGGCCCACTCCGCGCAGCGTCTGCGTCAACCTGCCACAGCGGAAGTGAAAGCTTCAGAAGAATAGTGGCTAGATAAATAAGCATGTTCGGTATTTTAGTGTTGCACATTGTACATATTTCCTACTAACAAAATGAATGTTTTTATCTGCGTCGTGTTGTTTCTCGTAAGTGCCGCAGCTGCTAACAAAAGCGGGGACGATGACTGGGTGCATCTGCCAAATAAATGTGAAGGTAGACTGTCCTAATTTATAATGAGTCAATATTTTGCTTTAAATACACCACAATCGCTTGTGCATTTCCACACTTATTTTCAGCGCTTGATAAAATCATTTAATGCAATCGCAGACACATATTTTACACGATATAATAGGTCTGAGATATATGTTATCATACTCAGTGCAGATGGCCATGTGTATCGATAGCAATCTGCTTTTTTGTTTCATAACAGTTGTAAGACCTTTTTTCATTTTATTTAATTATTTCTCGTTTTATTCATTAAATCTAATAATTATTAATTTAAAATACTGAATTGACATACTGGGAAAAAAACAAGAGCAGCAGATTTCCTCTTTTCAACGGACCTCACTGGATGTGTCTCAAAACCTAGTGTGATGCCTACCTAGACTGCATGTTTGGAACGTTGAATGGGTCTGTAATGACAAACAATGCT